AGAGCGCACTTCCAGGAAACTCATGGTTAATCCAGCCTTTTTGGTAAAGAATCCTTTTCTAAAAACAAAAGGTAAAATTATGACTCTCATCCAGATATAATGGTAAGGATTACATCTCCTTAATGATCATTTCACTCATTGTTAATGAGAGAACCTTTGGTTCAAAGGAGAAGTGAAAAGAACGCAAGTTTACTTGGAATAAAGGGATGTCGAGATGAATATAAAAATAAGTAGGGCCCTACCCCATTTGGCTCAGTATATAGAGCGTTGGCCTGCGGATTAAAGGGTCCCGGGTTCCATCCCGGTCAAGGGCACATGCCCGGGTTGCGGACTCCATCCCCAGGGGGGCGGTGTGCAGGAGGCAGCCAATCAATGATTCTCTCTCATCATTGATATTTCTATCTCTCTCTCCCTCTATCTTCCTCTCTGAAACCAATTTTAAAAAATTGAAAACAAAAATAGGCAGGAAGTATGTGATGGGAGATAGAGAACCAAAGCTCCAGAATCTCCACCCAAAAGCATGTATTCTCACGCCCATGGTCAAGAATGTTACTGCATTGCTACCTTATCTATAATTTACAGAGTTGCAAAATATCTCAGAGGCAATAAAAGGCTGGAGTCAGATAGACAGCAGTGCACGGCTTCCGCTGGAGACACCTAGTAAAATGTCTTTATATTTTCTTGTATCAGTCTTCAGTAGGCTCAGGAAGTTTATCACCAGCTAAAAGCCCAAATAGGTTTCATCTGTGCTGCTGGGAAGCACTGCCTCCCCGCTCCTAATACATTTGCATGTCACTCATCTCCATTCACATGTGGCTTCTCATGGCCTCTGAGACCAAATTCAAATTCTTGCTTCATTATTCGTTCACCCTTTATTCACCTAAAAATCATTTGTTTTTGCCACAATGCAAATAAGACACAATCCAGTCCTCAAAGCTTCCAGGACTGTAACAGCAGATAGATAAAAGCTGTGCTAACTGTGAGTGTGTGGCGCAGGGAGAATGTTGAGGGTGGTGGTCGGGAGAAGGAAGCAAGGACTGCTAACCCAGATTGAGAAAGGGATGAGTCTCATCGAAATGTATTAGACCAGTGGTTGGCAAACTGTGGCTCGCTAGCCACATGCAGCTCTTTGGCCCCTTGAGTGTGGCTCTTCCACAAAATACCACGTGCAGGTGCGCACCTACAGTGCGATTGAAACTTCCTGGCCCATGTGCAGAAGTCGGTTTTCGGCCTGGGCAAGTCTATTTTGAAGAAGTGGCGTTAGAAGAAGCGGGGGGCGGGGGGGTGGAGGGGGTGGACATATAGAGAGGATGAACGAAAGGAGATAGACGAAACAAGTATACAAGACCAGTGTGGATGGGAGAGTTGGAAGGGGTCGACCTCAGTGAACCTACCTCAATCAGATTGAGGACGTTTTTAGCAAAGGTCAGCTTAGGAGTACCCTAATTAAGCTAATAAAATGTACATACCTATATAGTTTAAGTTTAAAAAATGGCTCTCAAAAGAAATTTCAATCGTACTGTTGATATTTGGCCGACCACTGTATTAGACGAAGGAGGACTGGAAAGAATGCTCTCGGAGGGGGGAAGTCTATGGGGAGGACGGGTAGGGAACTTCAGGACCCACTTGAGGAATCATAGGGCCTTGTCTGTAGTTGGGGTGAAGCAGAGTTGGGTGCAATGGTGAGAAAGGAAGTGGGGAGCGCAGAATTCACTTCAATGGTAGGCTCAATATTCTGAGAGTTGGTGCCGATTTGGCTTCTAGGTTTTGCTTTTGGAATGATGTCTGTGAGTAGAAGCTGTGTAGATAGAGGGCAACCCAGCTTGTTTTCCAGTCTTTCCAGTATTGCCCACCATTCCTAAAAACACAAATACAGACAAAAATCTTCAGTCCAAGCTAAATGGCTCAATTACTGCTGTATAGTCCTAAACTGAGGTATATTTTGTCCTTGACTTCTTCATTTCCACCTTACCTTTAGGTCCAGCTCAAGGAAGCTTCGATTGTCTCAAAGGACACAAATTCTGGGTGCTGCTTTTCCGCAGACATCATTTTGGACCAAGTAAACAATATCTATGGGTAAACTTCCTTAGTGTGGAATCTCTTTCTAAATACACAATATGTCCCAGGAAGGCAAGAATTATCCCTATATCCATACACACCTGCCTTGTCACTGATTCCCTGACCACCCCTGAGAGATATTACATTTACATTTTTAGTCGGCTTTCTTCCTGCTCCCTGTGAGAGGCGTTGGGGTATCTTACTCCATCATCACTTGATGGACACCTGGGAATCAAGACAGAATTTAATAATCATTGAATCAAAATAATAAGTAGAATAATAATTAATATAAGTCAGGTAATTAGAGTCATTTTCTCATCATTATTAACTGCAACCACTTATTAGTTTGAATAGGGAAGATGGTTTATTACTGGCCACCAGAGGTGGGGCATTCAAGGTTTGTGAGTGAGATATGTCACAGCTTGCTTCTGTCCCACAGGAGACATAAGGAACACTGGTCTCATGCCATGCTTGTTCTTTGCTTGAGCTTCTAATTCAGGTTCAAGACCTTCTTTATGGGAAGGGCCTCTTAATGTAATTGTGTCACTTAATGTAATAGGTCTGATGACACATAAATGTTGCTCTAGAATTAACTTTGGGCGTCGGGATACTGAGATCATCACCATTTTCAAACCTGGCCCAAATGGCAATTTATTATTCCAGGTTGCCCCCAATTCTCTTTACATAGTTACACTGTGACCCCTAGTCATTAGCTTTACACATTGCCCACTCATTCCCTTCATTCAACAAATATTTTTAAGTGTGTCCTATGCCTGGTGTTTTACTGTTTTTCTTGTATTCCTTTTGAAGATAAAAATCTTTAAGAATCACAGTGCCAACAAATAACAAAACAAAACATAGACGGCAATACATTTCAACCAAACATTTTGTTCTTATAAATAGTCATTAGGCCAACCAGTAAGAATAGTTACAGGGTTAGTTATTCATTCAGGCTAATGCAGGGTAAAAGGCTAATCTTACTTGCAATTCTTCACAGCTCTCTCACTAACCATTTAGTTATTTGATCTCCTTGGTGCTTACAGTTTTGTCCCCTTGTGGGAGTTGTGGGATGGGGAGGGAGAGCTCCATCTAAAGTATATCATCTGCCAAAGCGTTCTCAGAGCATGTACGGCATAAAGAAGGGATGTCCTCAAGTAACAGTATTTAATCATTGCTTCAGCCTCCAACATGTCCATCTTCTGTTCTTAGACATGAAACACACAAGGCAAGCAGTTCTCTGTATAATAGTCTGTTGCAAATTTATAAGAAATGGTTGACCATACAATGAATGAGTGAGGATTTGGGGAAGTTAGTCTTCCTTTTCTCCTACTGAAAGTGGACTCTGAGAAACTTCCATTACTTCCCAAGCCGAGAATTCCAAAAAGGGTCTGCGAGGGGGGCTTTGATGGATGTCCTTGGAGGACGCATTGGCATTGCCGTGTCGCTGATTTTCTTTGGACACCTTTTGGTCGGCTTCAAACACTGGGTCAAGCCAACTGGCAAGAGGAAGTACTGAGGACGAAGAGGAGGGCGAGATAAGAAACAGCAGCTTTTTCTTTGTCAGCAGATCCTCCAAGTTCACAAATCCCTTGGATGTTCTCTCTGGGTAGAAAGTACTTCTTTTCTCCTCTAAAATGTTCTTGAAGTATTTAAAGCCTGTGATAAGAAAAGTTTATTTGCACTCATTTCCCTTTGTTTTAGCTTAACTCAAACTTCTGTCTCAAGATTTTTATTGACCTAATTTACTTTATACTGTTTTCAGTTGATAACCATAAAATGGGGTTGTTTGTCGAAGGAGGAGGGAAGCGGGGAGCAGGACTGAGCCATTATCTTGGACTTAAGTCAAGAGTTGATGGGTTTTTCTTTTCCCAAACTCCTCCCGGGCCCCACGGTGAGGACGCAGGAAGGCGAGTGATTCTATCGGGCCTTCCCGGTGGGTCCGGTTTCAGCTCTTGGGCTGTTTCTTTTCATCAGCCAGGACGGACCTCTTCCCCCTAAACTGTGGGGGGTTTGCTCCTTGTAAACCCCGTTCCCTGCCATGTTATAAAAAGGGAGAGTCCTCCAAAGAGGGCTGTGTTTGTATTAAAGATCGCCTCGTTTCCCACTCCTCTTCAGCTTGTAAAGGGGACCACAGTTTTGTGACCCCAAAATGATGCCTGTTGGGGTATTGATTTTTATGCTGGTTGTTAAGACACAAAACGCTCAGTAAGAACCTTTAACCCTCCCCGTTTCCTGCCTAAGAGATTCAGAGGGAAAGGCCTGCTCCGGGAGGGAATCTGGCCGCATGCACCTTAGAGGTAACTAGGGAGGCTCCAGGCAGGCCTAGTAGCAGGATTCC